GAGAACCGCCGAGGGAGGAGATGGAGGGAAATCTGGTCTAATGATTTACTATCGTCTATGGAAGGAGAAGGGAAACAAGCTACTCCAGATCTGTTATTTTTGAAGGCTAAATGGTGATGTGTACAATGCCTATCTGTTTGTGGACGGTTCCCTCATCGATCGCTTGCAGCTTAACTACTGGGAAAAATCAATGGAAGAGAGACAAGGTGTTTCGATGTTATTCAACATCTGGTACCTGCTTAAGAGTGGGAGGGTAGGCCACAATAGGCCTGGGACTTTGACTTGGCTTCCTAGCAGCTCCTGGCTACATCAGTTGCTGTGAGAATGTAGCTACAAAATAGGAGTGGCAAGAGCCAGCCCTATCATTCTACACAGAACATGGAACCTCCAATGCAAAATGTTGTCACTCCTGGGGTCTGGGGACAACTCTCACAGTCATCCTTTCCTGGTTGAATTTATGAGAGCTGATTTCTGCCTTGTCACACTTCTTCTTTTACATCCTGGAACAACAACATATTAAGGTATGAGTCAGACTCTACTGCAGTTTTTATATACATTGATTAATGGAATTCTCACAACAACCTCACTTGTCACAGCTGAGGAAATGAGGCTCAGAGAAGCATGTGGAGCCGCTGGTGAGTGCTGGACCCGCTCTCTTAGCTAGACCAGCAGTCCACTGTCTTAGCCTCACTACAGACATCTGGAGACCATTAAAGACATAATAACAGCACAACAACTAACCAATGCCTGGACCTTCCCAGACTAGTTAAATCAGACTCTCTGGGGGGAGTGGAGCCAGGGCTGCCTTTCTTTTAAAAGCTCTGCAGGTGAGGCTAATATGCAGCCCCCTTGAGAGCCACCATGTTAGACCATGCAACCTCTCCAAGACAATGGTAAGAACAAGAAGAAGAAGAGAGAAGGAACCAGATTTTTTTTAATTCCCTCTGCATATCAAATGCTTATTCTTTTCTAATCCTTCCTGCAACTGGAAAATTATGCCCATTTCATGGATTTGTAAGCTTTCTCAGTTACTTGACCAGAGAGGTTAGGCAGTTTTTCCCCAAGTCCCAGTGCTCCTAAGCAGCAGGGAAGCGATCTGAGCCTGGGTTTGTGTTCAGGTTACTGCACTACACAGCTAAGAAACACACCTCTGGCTCACACTGAGGCCTCAAAAGAAATCAAGCCAGGCCTATAAGAATTGGAGCTTGGAGCAAGTTAGAATTTCAGTAGCAGGAAACAGTTATGGAAGGTTTCCTAGGAGAACAATAAAGCAGAGATACCTGAGAGGAGAGAGAGAGAAACAAGGTACACCAGACAAGGGAAAGGAGCAGGAGAAACAGTGAGCAAAGTTTACAGGCACTTATTACCCAGTTCCACAACCCTGTGCAGAAGGAACTGTAATTATCTCCCTTCTACAGATGGGAAAACTGAGGCCTAGTGAAGTTAAGCCACACTTTCAAGTCAAACAATCAGTAAGTGGTTTATCGAGGAATGAAAACCCGGGTCCAGGATCCAAGTACGTCACCACACAGTTTACACTGCTCATCACTTTTCAAAGAAAGAGGAAGAAAAGGCAGATAGGGTTTATTTTGCTTAATGCTCCAGAGCAGGCACTTTACAGTCATTGTGTAATTGAATTGCTTTAACGTCCTTGAAGGTGACTGTGACCTGCAGCTTGGGTTAAGGAAACCGAGGGTCACCAGGGTTCAAATATTTGCTTCAAGTCTTGACAAAACTAAAGCAGCAGTCAGTACCCAGATGGATTCAGCTAACTCCCAACATGAACAACACTAAAGCTGGAAATAGTATAAAATTACTAAAGGCTAAAAAACACAGTGCAGAGAGTTCTACACTGGGAAAAACAGAAAATGGGAGAGGACTGACATGGATTTCATTATGCTAATTGGAAATTGGGATATGACTGAATGAGGAAATATTTTAATGTTGTTTGGCCAGGGAAGAACTGTAAATAGACAGCAGAAAGTGGTTTGGAAATAAACATACCAAACGAATACCAGATATTCTTATCTTTATTGGTTATTTTGAACTCAGGCACAATTGTACTGAACAGAGGGTAAATAACCTGTATATACTAATGCTTCCCTTAGTGCCCACCTGAGACTATAAACCACCGGCAGAGTGGTTCACATTTGATTGCATCTGACCTTGAAAATTCAAACCATTTTCTTTGATCACTGCTTTTACTCTACAACTCTTAGCACTATAAATTCAGCTTTTAATTGAACTTGCTTCTGAAAGTACAGCAGGATACTGACATTCTTCGGTATCCACAGGGGATTGGTTCCAGAACCTCATGAGATACCCAAATCTGCAGGAGCTCAAGTATCTTAGTATTTTTCATATAATTTATGCACATTGTCCCATATGCTTTTCATCATGCCTAGATTACTTATTGTACATAGTACAATGTGAATAGTTGTTATGATATATTGATCAGGCGATAATGACAAGGAAAAAATGTTTGTACATGTTCAGTACAATTGCCCCAGCAATTTTTTAAATATTTTCAATTCATGGATGGTTGAATCCTTGGATGGGGAACCTGGATAGAAACCTGCAGAGACAGAAGGCCAACAGTAAGCTAGGTGTGGTGCTGTACACTTGTAACCCCAGTGATGTGGGAGACTGAGGCAGGAAGATTGCAAGTTTGGGGACAGCCTTAGTAACCTAATGAGGCCCTCAACAATTAATGAGACACTATCTCTAAATAAAAAGTTAAAAGGACTGGGGATGTAGTTCATTGATAAAAATACCCCTGAGTTCAATCCCTATTACCAAAATAAGAAATAAAAAATAAAAACTGGGCTAAGGATATAGCTCAGTTGGTAGAGTGCTTGCATTGCATGCACAAGGCCCTGGGCTCAATCCCCAGCACCACAAAAAATAAATAAATAGATACTAAAAAAAATAAAAGGCCAACCATATATGCTTTTTATTAATATTTTTTGAGAAAATGGGCACAAAAGTATAAAGGGTAAGCCCCTCTAACCACAGTCACTATTTAGTGAGTAGTCTTCTACATGTTTCTATGCACATACCAGCTTGAATATGTCAGTACTATCAAAATGATTTTTTCTTTTGCCTAACTCTGATGAAATTCTTGGTTGTAGTAAACAGCATTGATATATTCCATTTGTATAGAACAAGAAGAAGAAAAATTTTTTAAATCAAAATTTCATGCTTTAGAAAAGGGTAAGGCAGAAATATCACTTTACATGAGAGTCAAAATACTCTTTTCTCAATTTGGATGAGAAATACAGCAAATTTAATAAGCAGCATCAGCAAGCATCTTGTATGGATCTTTTCATGGTCCTCACCTAGAGGTGACGTTGGATTTCTTGAATGAAAAATGCTCCCTTTCAATGTGGTTTTATTTGGAGTTAGTATCAATACCAAAAGTTATGGGAAAATCCTGTATCCAAATATAAATGTTCTAGAATGTTCCAATTAAAATTACAATTATTATTATTGGTTGTTTTTTAGCACAAATGGCATATAAAATTAGTTCCCCTTTCTTTTTACCACTTTTAAGTCTTTGGAACTTTGCCCTATTGTTCCTTGCATGGCTTTTCATGTGTCTATGGCAAAGTTTCTTTTGATTCCTTCATATTCTCCTAGCCCTTGATACATGCTCTGCACACCATATATGCCAAATAAATGTTTGTTGACTTTACTGAACATTTTGACTCTGTTAGTTTGCTAGGGCTGCCATAACAAAGTTTCATAAATGGAGTAGCTTAAGCAACAGAAATTTATTGTCTCACAGTTCTCGAGGTTGGAACCTTCAAACTGAGATGTCCTCAGGTTGGTTCTCTCTGAGGACTATGAGACAGAATCTGTTCCAGGCCTATCTCTTTGGTTTGTAGATGTCTGTCTTCTCTTTGTATTTCTTCACATCATATTCTTTGGTAAATGTCTACCTCTGCATCCAAATTTTTTTTTGTGTGTGTGTGTGATGTTTTTGGTTTTGCAATACCAGCTATTGAACCCAGGGTTGCTCTACCACTGAACTATATCCACAGTCTCTTTTATTTTATGATTTTGGTCTTTATTATTTATTGTATGTATGTGTGTGGTGGGGTGAGTAATAAGGATTTAATCCAGGGATACTCTACCTCTGAACTACACTCCCCAGTTCTGTTCATTAATTTTATTTCAAGATAGGGTCTTGCTAAGGTGTCCAGGCTGGCTTCCAACTTGTAATCTTCCTGCTTCAGCCTCCCAGTTGACTGAGATTATAGGTGTGCACCACCCTCCCCAGCTAAATTTTCCCTTTTCATGAAGAAGCCAGTAAAATTGTATTAGGGTCCGCCCTAATGACTACATCTTACCTAATTATATCTGCAATAACCCTATTTCCATAAAGGGTCATATTCTGCTGGGTGTTATGGTGTGTGCCAGTAATCCCAGTGACTCAGGAGACTGAGGCAGGAGGATCACAAGTTGAAGGACAACCTGGGAAACTTAACCAGACCTTTGTCTCAAAATTAAAAAACAAAAGGGCTGGGGTTTAGTTCAGTGCTATGTAGAGAATTCTTAGGTTCTATCCTTGGCACTAAAAAAAAAAAAAAAAAAAAGTCATATTCTGAGTGAGATGCTTGCAATTAAGACTTCAAAATAAAAATTCAGAGTAAGAGGCCATAAGAAGTCATTAGTTAGCTTATCTATTTTTTTTTTTTTTTTTTTTGGTACTGGGGATTGAACCTAGGGGCAAGTAACCACTGAGCCACATCCCCAGCTCTTTTTATTTTTTATTTTGAGACAGGGTCTCACTAAGTTGCTTAGGGCCTTGTTGCAATCCTCCTGCGTCAGCCTCCCAAACCGCTGGGATTACAGGCATGCACCACTGCACCCGGCTGATCCTTGAGTCCTCTTTTATCCAGGCCAAGAAGAGTATTTAGAATTTTAATAATATTTTTAGCAACATATGGGAGGGTTGTTTTTATTTTTTTTTTAATGTTTCTCTCTGTGCTTTCCAGAATGGTTTCCGCTGTCGAAGCCTCAGAGCCTTCAGATTGTCTGGAACAGGTAAGCATCACATTGGGGAAGCTGTATTTTTAGGCAGGAAGAAGAGACATGTCCCTGGACCTTGGTCCACTGAACAACCTCCAATGCCTTGACCTGGGAGCTCTGAGTCCCAGAAAGAAGCTCTGAGAGACCCAGCCCCCTGTGAATGTGTTGGTTTTTCTCTATGAACCATTTTACTTTCAGTGAGTTTGGTCATTAAAATTGTTTTGTGCCCCTCAGTCATGCCCCGGGCCCTGAGAACAGGGAGTGTTGGCTTGCAAGAAAACCTAGTGGGTTTATTATTCTCTGACACAGAGAAACCAAATAACATCATTGAGTGGCCATTGGATGGGGAACTTGATTCATGGAGGTCATGCTTTCCCAGGCCCTCTCAACGCAGTCTCGGCTCAGACCAGGGCAGACTTTTATTACCAGCTTTCAACAAATCCCTAGTTTCTTTTGCAAAGTAAAACAGATAATAGAGACATTCCGGGAATAGTTAGCTAACTAAGCTGTGCCAGGCAACCTCGGGGCTAAGAAGAACTCAGTGTTTTCGGACAATGACCAATTACAATAACCAGTATTATTTGATCTGAGAGTAATTAGCCGAGCCTCTGTTCTTTTTTGCTTCAGTGAGGAGGCAAAAAGGGCAGTGAGGAAAACATCAGAGACAGGGGAAACGAGCTCAAATGTCAAAGAAAAACACACTCACACAGGTGGGGAGAAGTGAAGAGTTTCCCAAGCCAAGATCCTAACCGAAAGTTTGAACATTGCTCTTGACTGAAAATATGGAAGGGTTGAATCTAACCAAATGTCGTTTGACTGTTCCATTCCTACTCTTTGCATGCTTTAAAAAGTCACCACGTAGACCGAATACCAGGGCACAAAGGGTGAATAGGTTGGAAACAGAGCTATGGACTACCACAGGACCTTGTATTGGGAGGATGACTTGAAACTCCTCATTATCTCGGGGGAAGCTTCCAGAGAATTGCTGTTTATCATTTCATTCACATTTTCTCTTGCCAGTGTAGTCAGGTTCCCTAACCCCTAGCCAGAAACATTTGGATTTTCACACTGCCCATGGCTTGCTTTCATTCCACTATTGGTTTTCAAAATAAATGGTACCTCCACACCTATGAGGCATCCTAATGCTGTCTGGAGCTGCAGCTTCCTTCTGTTTGCCCACTAGCCCTTCCTTCTGGGCCAAGCACGACTTGAATCCCTACTCTGACTTTTCTGACTACACAACTCTTACCACCTTTGCCCATCCCCTTGCCCATGGCAGTGTCTTTGCCTCTGCTTAGGTTTTTCTCTGCTCAGATTCTCAAAACAAGGAGTAATGTCTGGAGCTGTGCTAATACAGAAGCCACTAGTCGCACATGGCTATTTAAACTTAAATATTCCAAATTAAATTTAAAGTTCAGTTGTTCAGTTGCACAAGCAGCATTCCAAGGACTCAAGAACCATATGTGTGCAGTAGCTTCCATATTGGGCAGAGCAGAAAGAGAATACTTCCATCATCAATGAAAGTTCTTTTTTTCAGTACTGGAGATTGATCCCAGGAGTTACACTGAGTTACATCCCTACCTCTTTTTATTTTGAGACAGGGTCTAAGTTGCTGAAGCTGGCCTCCAACTTGTGATCCTCTTATCTTAGCCTCCTGCCTTAGCCTCCTGGGATTACAGGTGTGCACCATGGCACCTGGCTCCTCATAGAAAGTTCTTTGGGGCAGTGCTGGCCTAGATTATCACATGAGAAAATTCTTGGTGCTCAAAAGAGCCCTGCAAAGAGCAGTAGCATTAGGTGAGCTATATACTATGTGCTTAGCAGAGTGCTGCTTATATTATTACATTCAATCCTTACAAATGTCATTTTCATGTCAAAGAGGAAGAAACTGAGGATCAGAGATGCTAACTAACCTGGCCAAGGTCATCCAGTTAGGTAACTGGTGGAGTCAGGATTCATCTTGTGTACAGGTCTCTATGGATTGCCAACTGAATCCACAATTCAATTGTTAGTATGGTTAAATCAAGAGCAGCTGACTTTTCATGACTTTTCTACATGATTCCTACAGAGGTGTGGTGGAACTATGCTCCAGCCTGTAAATGGGCACAGGTTCTCGATAGGGGTTTGATGGTGACCTCTTTAATGTGGACCTAGTAAGACACACTCTTTAGACTGATTAGCAAATTGTAAGACAGCTTCTCTGCTGTTGTTTCTTCCTAATGCCAGTGATTGCTTCCTGTGGGCATCTACTTTACCATGTCCTAAACTGAAAGCAGTAAGAAAATTACCTACTCCATTCCTGCCCTTTTCCTTTCTATGGTTGCTCGGGGGGAAGCAAAAAACCCAGTTAAGCTCAAGGTAACCAGGCTCATCCTGTGCTGCAAGGATCAATGGCAGATTTTCATACTTAAGAGCCAGGTTTTGCTAAGAAATTAAAACCACTGTCTCATTCTTCTGAGAACAACTAGATTTAACATATGTTGAATGATGGGTTCATAGACAGTGTTTGACATAATCACAAAGACTGGGCTCGGCACCCTGAATGGAGAGCTACACCTGCCAGACCTCCTCAGTCCTCCTCCTTCAGGCTCCTTTTAGTCCTAACTGATCTGGAAATCTGCAAGGACTGGGGATTTCCAAATTTCTTCTTCATCTTGTCTATGAAGAATTTATTCCTGAGTTGGAGGATAGTAATCTGTTTGCAGAAACAGTCTTATGTCATGGAAATCAGGGATCTGAAAACTTCTTATGTAAGCCTAGTGCAAAAATTAGGCAAATTACAAATGTGCACCAAGACCTCCAGCATCCCAGCACCATGGAATGCAGAGGGAAGAAGTCTCTGCTTTCTTGTTTTTGCTCTAAGTTGGTATGTGAATTTGATGTTAAGTAAGCTGCTCTGTTTTTTGCTTGATTGTTTCATGACCATGCAATTTAATTTTGAATGTCAAACATCAGTCCTATGGTTAATTGTCTTCCAGGATCTGCATAGTTTTCCCTCTTGTGGCTTTCTACTTGTAAACCTATTTGTGGCTTGTAGAGATGGATGTACTTAAATGATAGGCACTAGATTAGCAAAAACTTTAAAGCATTGTAAGTAAATAGGCAACAGGAAGGACGTCCCCTACCCTACCACTCTCCCCAGGTTCATTTCAGGTGCCTCTCCCTCTCTTTTTCCTAGGCCAGTCACTAAGCCTTGATTCCCTTCTTTAACTCACTCTTCTCCCTTCCACTCCAGGCTCTGTATGAACACCAGAGATTTCTGCAGCAATGCCTTCCCCTTGCCTATCCCCAGTTCTTCAGCTCTCAGCTCAAATGTTATTTCCTCAAGAAAGTCTTCCCTGGGGCTGGGGTTGTGGCTCAGCAGTAGAGTGCTTGCCTTGCATGTGCAAGGTTCTGGGTTTGATCCCCAGCACGACATAAAAAAAAAAAATAAGATAAAGGTATTGTGTCCAACTACAACTAAAAAATTTTTTAAAAAGAAAGTTTTCCCTGACTGCCTTCTCCCATTCTGAGCCAGGTATCAGGGCTGTCTTGATTTGGGTTGCTATAATAAAATACCTGCGATTATATAATGTATAATCAACAGAAATTTATTGCTCACAGTTCAGGAAGCTGGGAAGACTAAGACAAGGCCGCAGTAGATTTGGTGACTGGTGAGAACTCTGTGCTCAAAGACGGTGTCTGTTTGGTGTGTCCTCATATAGTGGAAGGGGCAGTCTCCTTTATAAAGGCACTAATTCCATTATGAGGCTCTATCTTCATAATCTAATTACCTCCCAAGGGCCCCATCTTCTAGTACCATCATCTTGGTGATTAGATTTCAACCTAAGAATTTCAGGAAGAACAGAAGCTTTCAGACTAGAGCAGGAGCCTTTTCTTCAAAGTGGTCCCTATGCATTTTTGTGATAATTTGGTGAACTTCTGGCCTACTAGACCAAGATGCCAAAAGACAGTCTTGCCTCATACCCCCCAGAACCAACCACTCACTACCACATAATAATTGTTTGATAAATTATTTTATTCATCTCCAAATATACAGTTCAACATAAAATCAAGTTGAAAACTCATTCTTCGTGTGATTTGGGTGCTTAATTATCTGTCTTGTTCTGCTCTGTCTCAGGAAGAAGGAAGAGGACTTCTCAGCTAAAACCCCTGGGGCTGAGCTTCAGAAACACTATAAATAATTGAATTTTCCACTCGAGCTTCACCTTCAGGAATCACCTCTCTCCCTCCAGGGTTCCTTGCTTGATGCTTTTGGCGTCCAGACCTAGAAAGCATTGTCAATTGGGCTTTTCCGCTTGGTTGAGGCTGCTGTGTCTATCCAAGAAGAATCCTTAATTATATATTTCTGTTTCTATAATTACAAAACTGTGTCCTTTATGTGTACATGGTGCTCCGAGACATGGTGGAGGGCAGGCAAGCTGAAGGATAGAACTTTGAGATTTTTTTTTCCCCCTTAATCTTAGTAATAGGACAGATAAGAATTTCAGGATGAAGGTTATTACTCCAACAATTGTGGTAAACCCAGGAAAGTTCTATTTGAAACATTATTCTACATCTAGCCTTTTCTATACTTTTAGCCATTTCCTTTTCTATACTTTTCACACACACACCCTCCCCCCTCCTCCCCCAACCTTTATTTTCCAGGATGAAGGCCTTGGAGAAACTCTATTTCTCTCTCCTACTTTTCCAGGCTGGGCAGGGTTCCTGAAGCTGAAGACTTGGCCTCCCAAATGTTGAAGGGCTTTCCTAGAGACCGGGTCTCCGCCCAGGAAGCACTGGGCCATGATTATTTCAGTGCTCTGCCCTCCCAGCTGTCCCAGCTTCCTGATGGTGAGTGAAGAGTGTGTGCATGCGCATTGGTGTTAAGTTTCCATGTCTTCAGTGTTCAACCTGGAGAATCATAAAATCCTAAAATGAAGATAATAATGAATTTGCCTGCAGGAATGCAAGATGGGACCGAATCTTGCCTGAGTTTTGCATGAGATTCTCTAAAACCCTGAAGCACTGGTAGAGAGGTGACAAGGATCCAACATTTCAAACACACAACTTACACTTAGAAATTGGATGAGATGAAAGTTCCCTCTGAGTTGTTTGCTTTAGCTAGCATCTGCCAGGAGAAGCAAAACCAAAATTTCTAACAAGCCCCTTCTCTCTTTCCATAGAGAGTAAGATGATAGGTGACATGGATATGTCAGAGAGCAGAGCTGGGCCTTTCTTGATTGGTAACATGATGCTGCAGAAGGAAGTGTGGAGGTGGGGCGCTGTGGGGAGGGAAGCACCCTCCCAGGCCAGCTGCCCGCTGGAGAGGCAAGTTACCCTGAAATCAGCCTTTGCTGCCTGGGCCTGAAGTCATCCTCCAAATCTGAAATCTGCTGAGGGTCATGTGGTTGGAGCTGTCCTCTTGTTTCTCAGAACGTGGCCAGAAAGGGCTATGAGGAGGATGTGGGCATTGTGGTCAAGGTCTGGGCTGTTTGAGGGGAATGTCCTTAGGTAGGGTTTCTTTGAAAATATCCACCATTCAACTGAAAACAGTTTTTAGGAGTCCTGAGGCAGAGAAAAGGAAGCTAAGCAGGAGGGTCTAGGGGCTCAGACTGTGAAGAGGGGACTGAAATGGGAGGAGGGGGCAGGGGGAATGAGGTTCATTGGGGTGCAGTGGGGTGAGGAGTTACTGCCCAAGAGGTGTAGACACAGTCTGGTCCAAGTGGCTAGGGTTTGCAAATAAATGCAGTTCCACTGTATCTGTGTCATTGTCCTGCAGTAGTTCAAAACTCTTAGTTTGGGACTTGTTGAGGAATTTTATTATTAAAATGAGTCATTTAAGATCTCCAAAAATAACTGTAATCATACAACTGGGGTTAATGTCTTACTTACCCTTGTAGGAAGAATCAGTCATTCGAATTTATTAAGTTGACATAAGTGTCAAAAACATATGAAGTGCTATAAAAAGTTGAAGAAAACAAGAGACTTGTCCTTGGCCTCAAGGAGTGGGAGGAAAAGAGGGTGAGGAAGAGGAAACAGGGCACCCTCGTACACATATTAGCACAAATCATATCTAAACAGCTAAAATCTGTGTGTAATCAACTGCAGATGTTCAGGACTGCGTGTGCTAACGGCAGTTCTTTGGAGAAACTAGAATAATTCAAGTGAGATGGATTAGGCTGGAGGTGAATCTGAAGTGGAATTCGAAAGGAGGGGAGGGACAGGGTTTGGCATGTGGGTGGAATGAAAGATGTGGCAGGCAGACCTACAATTCTCACTTCCTTCCTGGCACCTCTGCCCCACTTGAGCCCCACCTTGTCCTCTCCCATCCCAACTCTCTCTTCCCAACCTCAGTCCCTAGCTCTTTCCTTCTTAGCTTTCTTCTTTGGGGTTTGGGATTTCTAACTCCATCACATCGTGCAAGTGTCCATGCTTGGGTGTACACACACCCTTCTCCCCACTTAAAAGAAACCTCCCCCGTCAGCCCTCTCCAGGGTCTATTATTCTGAGAACTGCTGGGGGATCTTCAAAGTTTTCTGGGCACCAGCTTTTGCTTGATGAAGGGTAATTAGGAAGAAACAATCACTGTCCAATTGATGTGTTGTTGGAAACTTGAGTTTTGATTCTTCCTGGCAAAGCCACCAACAGAGGGGCCCTGGTGCATGCATGTATGTCTAGAGGTATGTGTGTGTGTGTGTGTGTGTGTGTGTGTGTGTGTGTGTGTGTGTGCATGCGCGCGCAAGGGTGAGAGAGACAGAACAATCTGTATTCCTTCTCTGTTCACCCAGCCACAGAGCCCAAATCTACTTTGACACTTTTAGAAAAATGAAAAGATGGAATCTTGCAGGAGCCTGCCTGTGCTGGGGGGAGGTGAGGGGTGCTCGCAGCAGGAGGGAAGTTGACTTTTCTTTATACATATAGGGGTTTTTCCATGCAGAGTTTAAATTATGCCTGATAAAAGGAGTTTCGTGGATGTTTCAGTTCTTTCAAATTCTCCTGGCTTCCTCCCAATTAAATGAGGTTTGTCAAAGCCACAGGGCTCTGCTGCTGCTGCCTCGGCGGACAAGCACTTCCTGCAGCGACATCTCGAATCCCTGAGGGAGAAGATGAAAGGGCCAGCGCCAAGAGACAGGGGAGGGGGGGGCAAGTGTGTGTGCGTGCACGTGCATATGTGTGTGTGTGTGCATGTGCCCGTGCGTGTGCATGTATGCTATGGGGAGGGGGTAGAAATACATAGAGAGACAGATCGACATTAGGACAGGGGACAAGTAGAGAGGAAAGGCAACGCTACCGGGAAAATTGGTAAAAGAGGTAGAAGAAGAGAGAGAAGCCCCTGAAGCCAGTTTGTGCACCTTCGATACAGTGGCCCTTGCCAAGGGCGCATTATCCACGAAGGGCTGCATTCCCTGGGCCTGGCAGTGCCAGTCTGCTTTTTCATTGCCCCTGGCAAAGAGCCTTTGTTAAGAGTCTCCGTTGCAGACAGACAGCACCAGTGGGTAATCACAGTTCCCAACCTGCGGGGACATAAAATCTCCATCACCAAGGTGGGCTGCTGCCCCAGGCATGAGAATCTAGCAAAAATGAGGTACGCCCTTGTTGGTGATTTGTAAGGAGAGTTTTCTGACCATAATTATGCAAGAAATTTTACTCTCGGGTAGCATTTGAGTATGGAATCATTTAGGAGCTTATATTTATATCAATTTATTATTCTGGTTGCAGGATAACAGAGTTGTCACTTTAAAATATATTCTGTTTCCCCTTTGATCTGGAAGATGCCAGCTATTATTGTCTGCCCTCTGAAGAAGACAATTAAAGCATGAAACCTGTGCCTGGGAAATATGTGGAGGGCAAAGGAATAGCCTAAATCTCAGCAGAAGCGTGGTTTAGCCTTTCCCCCCAAAAGAACGGCTCTCACATCCAGCCAGCTTGATTTTCATCAAACCAAGTCCCGAATAACACTTTCTCTAGATTGTAGCAGTCCGCTCAGAGCCAGAGGAAATTTATCAGGGGGTTATTTGCCATGAAAAACCAGGAATTCCAGGATTCGTTCCCTTTTGGAGATGGCTCTTAAGTGGAAAAGCGTGAATACAGGAATGGAAAGCATGTGGGAACCTCAGCCAAGCTCTGACATTTTCCCTCATTGACTCTTGAACACCTGAAGAAACATTTGTTGAAGGAGAAATTATTGGTAGTCCCTCTCAAAACACACCCAGCATCAAACTAATTGCTTTTGCAGATGCCCAGGGAGCCGCTCTCCCCACTCAGGCACCAGCTTATGGCCACACTTGTGGTCCCCTTGGCTGAGCCAGCAGTGCAGCACGTCAGCTGGGGCAGCAAGGACCTAAAATTAGGCTGTTGGCAACTCTCTAATCTTAGCTGCAGGTTCAGCCTCTTCACTTAATTCCCTTTGCCCCCAGCATGAACTTGGGCTCTGGGAAAGGAACACTGCTTAATGATCTGGGGGCGGGGGGAGTAGAAAATCATTAAGCTGCCCCTTCTAGAAACTGGCTCCACTCTGGTCTTTACAGGAAGCCTTCCAAATGTTGCCCTTGGAAAGTTAAGACTGATTTTGGAACCTAGCCATTTTGAATTACACACACTGATCCAGAAAAGTATTTTTTCTTTTTTTTTAATCTGGGGCAGCAAATGCCACGTGATTTAAGAGTCTGGTCCTTAAGCCACCGTCCTTGATTGTCAAGACATCAAAGGCTGTCTCTCTCTCTCTGTCTCTCTCTCTCTCTCTGTCTCTCTCTCTCTCTCTGGGTTGGTCCCATTTTCTCTCCAAATCCCAGGCTTCAGCGTCTACTGTTCCTCTTCCTGGACTAAATCCCCCTTCTCCTTTAAAACAGATTTTAGCATCTTAGGAAAAAAAATTTTTAAAACTTAAAAGCTTGCAGTTGTTTCACAAGTAAGCTTCTGAAAACAATGTGCCGTAGGCTGTATTGTCATCATGTACTTTTGTACACACAGGGTGAAAGGAGGCATGGCTTTGCCCTGCCCGCCTTCACACCACCTAATACCTATATGCTTCAAGTTCTTCAGCAAGCCCCACTCAGATTGCCCCATTAAAATCTAAACCATATTTTATTTTACTCTAAACAAATTCAGTCCTTCTTTTAACATTACTTTAATGTACTGGAAAATCCCTGTGATATCCCTTCCCAAAGGTCACTTCTCTAGGCTGAATATCTTCCACCATTTTTGTTGTTGTTTCCAAATGTAGATTGTTTCTTCCACTTTCTTTCTTTTTGCTTTTTATTTCGGGGGATGGGAGGGTGGGGTACCCAGGATTGAACACAGGGTCGCTCAAACTTTGAGTCACATCTCCAGTCCTTTTTTATATTTTATTTTGAGACAGGGTCTCCCTTAGTTGCTTCACTAAGGCCTAAGTTGTGGAGGCTGGCTTTGAACTTGCAATCCTCCTGTCTCAGTCTCACTAGCCACTGGGATTATAGGCGTGCGCCACCACACCCAGCTGATTCTTCCACTTTCTTAGTCTATTCTGAATCCATTCCAATTATTTTGCTTATGTCAAAGATTCTGAACCCAGTGTAGACTCAGGTCTCTAATACAGTGGGAGAATTATGTTCCAGTTCATTCAACAAAGATTTACAAGTGTCTATTAGTTGTGATTTTGAAAATAATAGAAATGAGTTACTCATGGACCCTGTCCTCAAACAGCTTCCAGTCATTAAGGAAATGAGACAAGTATGTAAACATTTACAGATCAGATAACATATTTAAATGCTCCGAGAAGCAGAGATTAACCAGATTAAAGCCAGCTGTGGGGATCCAGGATGACTTTGAAAGAGTGAGTCCTAAAAGATGATGAGTCTGGAGGGCCAGGGAGA